GCTAGTACTCTTTTTAACTTTTCTGTATAGGATAATTTTTGTTTTTTGGTAGTGTATCTTTGTTTATTTTTTTTTTATAGTGACAAAAGAAATATTGTAATTGTAAAGAATTGGTCGAACGTTATTTCAACAGGATTTCCCTCGCTCCTGCAATACAATCCACAAAATCCCGCTTCTCTAAAAATGATAAAATTTAATATTCTTGCGATAATCTCTATAAATTAAAACGAATACATTAAATTTACCGGGTGTCCCACGTAACACTTTCGGGCGCAATAACTCAGGTATTTTTGACGCGATTTTTATGAAATTTAAGACAGGTGTAATATAATAGGTAAAGATTAGGCTGATAACAAAAAAAAAAAAACATTTTATCGTACAAAAAACGGAATTTTAACACAGCTTCCTGTTGTTAAAAATTATAATGCAAAATCACGTTATAACTTTAATAAATCACTGTTTTTGTTTAAAAGAATTAAGTTAATAAAAACGCAAAAATTAATTAATTTGTTTTTTTTTAAACTTAATACTGCTGTCGGTGCAAAACAATTGCCTACGTAGCCGAGTTCAATTTCGTACATCCCTAACATTTTTGTCAAAATCTGACAAGTTATTGAAAATGGTTCGCTTTTCTTTAATTATTATTAAAACAGAAATCATTTTAACCTACGGAGAATGCCGTACAGACCTAGATGAAACAATCAGGACTCTTATCGAACGGTATCCCGATGACGAATTTACCAAATTCAAAGCATAGAGGATAATAAAGTTATATAAAGATACGGGAAGTCTACAAGACCTTAAGCGAGTGAAAAAAACAAGGTGTTAAGTACACCTAGCAAAATTATTTCCATTCAGGTTAGAACTAATTCCTGATCCTACAGCAATTTTCCACCATCGAAAAAGTTGTAGTGGAGCAACTGAAAATTAGTATTTTCTTAAAATTCATAAAATAACACTTGGCAAACAGGTATCAAATTTCCGCAAGGGTATCCAAAATACGAGAATAGCAGTTTGTTGTTTCATGGCCGACTAGTATAAAGATTATGTCTTGTCCAAGAGGTACCATACGTGTTGCCATCTATTAATAATTACACTTAATAATTTAGCAAAATTTTAATTTGACTTGACATTATGAGACTTCAAACCGTGTAATGGTGGTTTGTTTCGGTATGAATGCCTTTTTGTGCCTTTCAAAAAGTGTTAATAATTCTTTTGTCGTTTTTGAATTATTAATAGATGGCAGCACGTATGGTGCCTCTTGGACAGGCCATAATCTTTATACTAGTCGGCCATGGTTGTTTCATAGCTATCATTTAAATACTTTTTGGAATTATTTGCGCACTAATTTATCATTTTTTGTCTAACCAGACGTATTTCGGAGATGAATTTTTGCACACAATATTTATTTTTCATGTTTAATCAAGTGATGCAAAACTTAATTCATTCAAAATTAAATTAAACATGGAAAATTTACTTTTTCAAGATAATGATTATTCTCACCAGTTCATATTAATCCTCACCTATCAAAATACCTACATTTCAAATTTCATAACAATCCGTTCAAAAATACCTGAGTTATTGCGCCCGAAAGCGTTTCGTGGGACACCCGGTATAAATCTGAACAACATTGATCCTGACATCAAATAAATTAATTTAAATGAAGCGAACACTTATTACACTAAAATCGACCACTGTAGTATTAATTAGAGTGTAATTATCATAGTGCATAACATATTCAAAAACTGTTTCAACCGCTGGAATTATTCAAATATTTAAACAAGCTCCGAATCAATTAATTAACAATTAATTGACAACTGTATCCACAACGTCGAAAGCCTTAATTCCCCCGGAAAATTATACAGTGGTGACGAAGTGCAAAAAATAAGTAAACAACTCAAGTTGTCTGTACATAGAAACATAGTCGCATGGAATTTAAATTCTAAACGAACACTGTCTGCAATTTATCATTTGTTAAAATGTTTAAAAGTCTGCTTCCAGCAACAAATCAGTGAACTGAAATTTATATGTTCGATTAAACGTAGTTTTTGAAGTCTTATTATACTCGCGAAATATCGATAAAATGAAATAATAAAAAGTCTATTGTATTAAAAGTCTATTCCTTGTAGATGATATTTCCTAAATAAAATTAAAACGAAATGGAGAAGTTTCATTTTATTGGATGAATAGAATAAGTCCGGAAATAAATTACAAAGTCCAATTTTCCTTATTTCATCCATAATATAAAATTCTCTCGGTCAGTGGACAAAATAACATCAATAACAAAGTTTTATTAACGTTAAAAATACATGATACGGTTTCATTGTATGCAAATAACCTAGAAAGAGTGGGTCTCTGAAATGTGAACTGTCTGTGGTCGCACTCGCATGAAAGTTTTATTTACATGTGGTGTTGCGTGCAACACGAAGCAGCTTGTATTTTAGCGGCGGAATGCAATAAGGAACCACCACCGGTAGCTACATACCCGAAACGTAACATAAAAAATAATATTTTTTACGACCCTTTGAATACACCTCCAGAAGTATTTGGCAGTAAAACGTGTATTTTATTAGAACCGCACGTCGGTTTTTGTTTTCCTTGTACTACAAGCCATTGTCAATTGGCGTCAACTGGCAATAAAATAATGCCGTGCTGTAAAAAGACGAAACGGTGCGACTCGAGTCGAAATGAAGTGGAGCAGAGAATAACTTCAAAATTGCATTTAAAAATGAATTACGGCGGAGAGCCCGGCGTAATTAAGATTATGCTATGTAAATTGCATGCAATTAATCTGCGTATTTCAGACCGAGTAAATTTTTTCGAGTTTTTAATCTTTGTATGATAAGATGAGATGATGTCTGGAGGGTCTGGAAGCGGAAGGAACCAGGAGGAATAACAATCACTCTAAGAAATTGTCTATGAAGGGGACGAAATGCCTTCGTCTGGCTAGTTATTTGAGCGAGAAGGGGCAAATAGGACATTTACATATTTTATTGCACCGTACTTGTGTATACTTGGCATTTCTTGACGCCCTTTGTGAGTTTGGTATTCTGCAAACGTCGCGGAAGTAATGCAATTTTATTTACCGTACTGCTGCAACACTGCGTAAAGAAAACCGACATTTTCCACCGCGAATTTACTTCGCATTCAATGTGATTCCTAACATGCTGCTGGTAATTCGCGACAGTATTTCTTGCTTTTCTTTCAATCCTGTAACAAAAATGAAGTGTGATGCCGCAGGATCAAGCCCGTGACGTAATAAACTCATTTTGTGCGCCATTTGATTCAACACTGGTTAGTTTATGCATGCCTGTGATTGTAAATTTAAATGGATGGATGGTCCGCAACACATTTATAGGGAGCACCAACAAATCCAATTCAAATAAACCGAATTATATAAACATCAATATTGTTGCAATTTTGTGGACAAATTAACGACCAAAGCCGCTGCAAATGATTTTGGGACACAGTAAAACCACTAAAAATTTAATTGGATGGGTGGTTTAATTACACGAAAATCATTTACAAAAAGTACAAGCTGAACGATAAACTGAAAAAATATATGTCCACGTAACGTCTGCTTTGGTGATTGTAAACTAATTTTAGCTGGACATCCTATCTGATATTAACTGCCAGGGAACTGACATTACCGTTAACACACCACACAATCAATAAGCGGCACTTAAGGGTGATGTGTCATTAACGTCTTAAAATTATCATCAGCCAGGTCATGTATGTCACCAGTATAATAAAACAACACTATATCGTTGCACAAGATCGGCAAATCGATAACACAGCACCTTAATTTGTTGTCGCTGAATGTTGTTCCAAGAAATAACGTAATGAAATCAGACGTTGGGACGTTATTTTTGTATTCAGTAAAACTGTATTATTCTGCGAGGTTAAAGATGGTATAAACTGTGCAAACATACTCTGAATGGTACCACGTACTTTTACAATTTCAGTGGATATGAATTTAAAAGTCGCATTTTATTGCAAAAAAATATTTGCCAGAACAGGAGATAAAAGGAGAAAAAGTGCCAAGAACAAGAGAAAGGTTACATAAATAACAAATAAACTTTATGCATGTATCTAAATGATCCTATTATTACCCCCTTGGTGATTTGCTTGATGAGTAAAAATGAATAAAAGTACGGTGTAGAAACGTATCACCCCGTATAAATAAGTGTTAACACTGTTGAATTTTTAAGTTTATTAAGGAAAAGTAACTAACAAATTTTTGTTATCTTACAGATAACTTTAACAAAATAGAAAAAGGTGAATTTTGAAAAATGGAATTTCTTGTTTTATTGTAACGACTGTGAAACAGAGGACCCAATAATATGACGATTTTAATATGCAAAAATATATGGAGTGTTTTAAAAAGATGCAACTTCAATATGCAATTTTTACATGGATTGGCCTGTAAAATTGAAAATAATTGATAATATCCAAATGAGTTTTATCAATTGGACAAAAACATTTTTTTGATGGTACAGGAAATGAGTCTTCCACCACCGAACAATCAATACTTTAAAAATTTAAAAATCCGGAAAAAAATACGCAATTGTTTTGGATACTGGATATATTAACTTTGGAAATTGAAAAATTACACCACATAAAGCTTACAGTTTCAAGCAACCAAAACTGTTCACTAAAACGACTACTTCGATTTTTTTTAAATTATTCATTTTAGTTTTATTTCTCTCAAAGCTTAGTCGCATACAAATACATCGCAAAAAATACGAACTATTACGGTCCGTTTTTATTTTAAACAGATTAAACAGATTACCTAATACTTATTATATTTGCATTTTAAAACAGGAAATCTTTTTTCGTCCTTATTTCTCAAAAAACATGAGATTATATCAACAACCGAGCACAGATTTCGCTTCCCAGTGAGTGATAAAAGAACAGTATAATTAGTTAATTACAAAAAGCGTGTCTTTCAGAATGCGTATTTACGACAAAGGGATGGTTTTGCGTCTGTTAGAACTTACCCTCTGAGGGACTCCCCGAGTTGCTGCCCTTCCGTGCCTCGGAGAACTTGCTCCGTGTTTTTCTTTGCGATGAGACGTTTTAAGACCACGTAGAAACCTCGAAAAGGTTGTTTTCTTTTTGTTCGTGTTGGTATAATTTTGATCTGAAATTAAATTAAAGTGGTTAACAATAGGGATGAGATTGTGAACACTTAAGTTAATTTATAAGTTTCGACAATTCATTATCGATAATTAAAAAGGTTTCGTACGAAATTGGCTGATGAAATGATAATGGCTCGGCGACTGCGTATATAATTAGGGCAAAAGCCGTGAACTTTTACTTATAAAACTTTTTTAATAACGATAATCTTTTTGTTTAGTATTGAAAGTCTGCTCATCAATATCGGGGTGCTTTAATCTTGAACGAAACCAAAGAATGAATTAAATTATATCAGAAAAACCAATCTATCTTCCAAAAACGATTCAGTAGTGTTGAATAAAACATGCACTTTTACCCCAATTTATATTTTAAATTTAATATTGAAGGAGCACGTATTCACGTAGTCAACTCTTTTTTATCTGAATATGAATTAGTTATAGGAACAACCTTTAAGAAAAAAACTCGATAACGTATGCTGTCTGCTAGTCTTCCATGCTTTACATGTTAACAGCGTTTCCTTTCTATCGTCCAAGATAATATTTTCGATAAATTTCTTCACGTGCTTATTAATACCCTCCAGATAATCTGCAGGGTACGAGCTTGCAATTTGCATACATATCTTTTCTACAGTCTGTATATGTTCCTTTCAATTTCACCACGTGCAATCTCACTTTCGATATACCTTTCCTTTTCCGGTTTGCCCTTAATAGATTCAGCAAATTTCAGGACCGGGGGCGGCGTTTGCCGCTACGGAATAGGCGTCTGCAGCTAGGGGTATTACAGATGAATTATGCATGGATGACGTACAGGTTACGAGTTATGGCTTGCTTATACGTCAGAGGAGGAATTTTAGACAAAATAATGAAATATTTACACGCCACACTATCACCAACTTCAAGTTTATATTTGTAGTCACTGACAGATGAGCTTACAGTTAACTTAAAAAAAAAAAAAACGCAGCTTTTATCTACACAAATCCCGGATATTTCATTCAAAATCTACCATAAGTGAAAACTGGTGACATTAAAAACGTCTACATATGATTTCATAAAGTCTATTGCAGTGTTATTTATTAAACTTCACACAAACGTTTCTAGACTTCTTTTTAATACAGAATTTTGAATTAATCGGTGCTGCATTATAAATAGGTTTTAAAGAGATTACAAAATGTCGTGCTCATAAAAACATGGAAAATTGCGATCAGGTGTATGATTGCAGGCAAAATTGAAACAACGTGCATTTTGTACATTAGTAACACAAATAAAGTCCTGAAGATTAATCAAAATGGACTTAACGTAGACTACCCAAAGGGATTGGAGGTTTGTGTAATTTGTGGGGAGACGTTTTGGGTTAATGTTAAGTGATCGGTACACAGTATGCCATTAATGTAATAATAAAAAATTAATAGTCAGTCAAATGGTAATTTGCCTTCAAATAAAAAAAAAAGAAAGCTAGCTATACAGAACTTTCCTTGGTTCTGAAACACAAGCTATATCATATTTAAACACACAAATTTTGAGATCATGTTCACGACCATCTTGACACGTATGTAAAATTTAATAATAATGCGTTAAAATTATTTCATTGCAATATTTTCCACGCTATAGCCCCAAAGTACACGTACTATTTTTTATCACTGCTTTTTTTTTGACAATCGTCAAATTCTGGAAGGTAACAGTATACTGACTTTGATATGTAGCATTGTAAGGCTAGTAACACATATATATATTCCGAAAATTTCGTACGTGTATACATTAATGTTTTTGGGGAGATATCCTGCCTAATAGGTAGGTAAAAAATGAAAATAGATTACAAAATTCAAACAGTACCTCATCTAACAATATTAAAAAAAATTAACGTTAAAAACAGGAGTGAAATGCAGCTAAAGAAAAATGATACATACTTCAAGTGAAAGTAGTTAATTAACTCAGGTTTACGATCACTAAGGGCGTAGTTGGCCATGGATTTGGAAAATCCCGCTTCGCTGAAATTATGCCTCAGTATGACAGTTCTCACTTGTCATTAGCGACATTTGTAAACTGTCATTTAAAGTCGTCGTTTTTATTAAGGTTTTTTTAAGTGTGAATTACAGTAATTCTCGTTGATCGAGCTTAAAACAACAAAACAGTCGTTTTCAAAACTTCTGGTGGTCGCGTACGAAAATTTTGTTTTGGTGCCAGGAAGCGAACACTCTGAAAATGGTTGAACAACAGATTTTTATTGTTATGTTTTGTTATCGCAATGGGACGAAGAGTGTGTGTATGCTGTAACCGCTTGTAAGCAAGAATATCTGGCCAAATACCGTGATTTGATAATTCAAGATACATCGTTAGATGCTCACATTAAAGATGTAATCAACAGATTTGTTCGAACTGACAGTGTCAACAAAGAGAAATCTCGGGGAAGACATCGAGTAGGTATCTGAGGAAGTTGTTGATGATTTGAGACGACTTGAACTGAATCCGTAAACAACTTTGACGAAATTTCCTCTGCAGTCAGGAGTTTCTGTGGCAACATGAAATTGAACAGTGGGCCTTGAACAAAAATGGTGAACATTTTCAACATTTGCTGTGATGTTTAACCATAATAAATTTGTTTCTTTTTATTGTAATGAATTAATTTTATTAAAAAAAAAGAAGCATTTAGGCAACCAATTATACACACGTGTGTGGTCTTTGTCATGCGTCCTTGGGCATTTAGTACCGTTCAGATTGAAGAGGCGGCAGGTTTACATGACCTACTGCGACCCTATAATCATTTATAGAAACCCTGTACAATATAAGTATTACAGATGATGGGCTTTAGCTGAGTTTGGAAATGACAGTAAACGCAAACTTTTACGCTTCTAATGTTAAGTAAATCTCAGGTCCGGAATTGTAAATTCATTAAAGGATGGGCATGCTACCTGTAGATGTTGCATTGGAATTTACGTCTCGACAAACTTAGACGCCAATAGTGAATCGATAAAGTGGTTTAATCCATGTTTTAGACGTGCATTTGAAAAAAAAGAAAATTTTTAATTTATGTCAAAGTTGTTGATGACCATTTTTTACTTCACGAGTGTAAGCTTAGGAAGTATTGTAATAAGTAAGTAATAAGGGTTCATTAGACGAATGGTTGCTTTAATATTTTCTCAATGTTTCATGAACCCTACAGTACATACGAAAAAGTAGTCTGAATTTTTTTTAGCTGTTCAATTTTATAGGTATGTTAGTAATATCGTGTACTATGGTAAAATACTAACCAAAATTTGTCTACCCATCTCCACCAATAGTTTGATTACGTAACCCTGATTTTGTTTAGTAAATGCCATTTAAATTGTATAGAATAGGATATTGCTATACTTGTGGTTTATGAATCGGCCTCGATTTTTTACCCTAGGCATCAAGAATTGTATCATCACATTTCATATAAGAACAAATAACAGTCCTAACGTGTGCTGTGTGGTGGTGTTGCTGTGCTGTAAAAATGTATTATTAACGCGATACGTATCCTTGCTGAGGGGTTGATTGGGACATTTTTCAATGTGAAAACTCACTAGAATAGGCACCGTCTTGCACTTTATCTAAGTATTCATACTTTTACTTTTGGAGCAATCGTTTCACCGTTCACCCGATTTCTCCACACTCCGCGCCAGATCAAATATGTATAAATAAGTTAACAGAGAGGGTTTTCATAACACAATGCCTTTGAGTCAAAGGCAGTGGCGGAGTATGGGTGATTAAAGTATGATACGTTAATGAATTTAGAAAAAAAGCTCTACAACAATCTCTAAAATAATAAATACAATAATATTTTCACTTCCCAAGCATAAAATACTTGTTTTTTATGAAACTATTTTTAACTGTATATTTTAGACTAATATATACAGGGTTTTTATAAATAATTCTAAGGACGTAGTTGGTCATGGATTTAAAAATCCCACTTCACTGAAGTTATGCCTCATTACGACCGTTCTCACTTGTCATTAATGTTATTTGCACCTTGTCATTTGTTTTTATTGTTTTAACGTTTTTCAAGTGTGAATAACAGTAATTCTCATTCATCCAAACTCAAAACAACAAAACAGTCGATTTTAAGACTCTTGGTGCTTGCGTACGAAAATCTTGTTTTTGTGCTAGGAAACGAAGACCGTGAAAATGGTTTATTAAATACTTTTATTGTTAATATCTGGCCAAATACGTGATTTAATAATTTTTTGACAATATTTCCTTAGCAGAAAGGAGTTCCTGCTGCAACATGAAATTGAACAATGGGTATTGACGAAAGGATTGCAGAACATTTTCAACATTAACTGTGATGTTTAACTACAATAAATTTGTTTCTATTTGTTTGTTTGGCGTATAGTATATGTCGTGCATTCTTGGGCATTTAGTAAAGTCTACTTCGACCCTATAATCATTTATGGAAACCCTGTACAACAATTCAACAGTGAAAGTAAAAAAATAACCATTGTACAATTTTTGAAAGTGTGTATATTTTCGAACGAAATTTTGAAATTTTTGTGATTTAAACTTGGTTCGAATTGAAAATTGTTGAAAATGTTGGAGCAACTTTATTCCCTCCACAAAATTGATGACGCCATCTTAAAATTTATCTAGATAAATTCTATCTGACGTGTAAACTCGGGGTCTATGAAAGCATCCATATTTTAAGAATTATTTGGATTTCTTAAAAAATTAATGGAACTAGCAACATATTTAACTAATTAAATAAATAAAAAACGACGCTATTTTCCTGAAATTTTGGGAGGTTTGAAATGTACGTCTAGCATGCTGTTTTTTTGTAGTTTTATCATCCATATCTATTTTCTTTTCAACTTACAGGGGTTACCGTAAGAAAAAATTGTACAATTAAATTTTTTATATATATACAGGGTTAGTCACGAGAGAATTACTTCTGAAAATTATTTTTACGCAACCCAAAATACGAATGCCATGTACCATTTGATACTAACTGAATTTAAAATAAAATGCTTAATCCATGATTGCTTTGAGTTTGACA